AAGGTTGAAGAAGTCATTACTACGCCGTTATTTTCAGTTGCTACTCAAGTCAGCAGAATGAATGATGTGGCCCTGGAATACAACAAAAATCGTGAAGATTTAGGCGATTTAGCTACAATCGTTGACAAAGTATTGGGGCTGGAAACGTTGGAGCCTAACCGGGAAAGTCTGTCCATCATAGATTTCAATTTGTTGCAAATTCTTAACACTACCTACAGTCGATATCTCGAAGTCTGATTGGGCGTGTCACCGGAAATGACGTGGCAGCCACCGCACTTGATAGATGTTGTGTGGATAAAATACTCCGCCAGATATCAGCAAAGCGTGTTGGAAGCAGCTTATCCGCGCAACTTCTATCAAGTGCGGTGGCTGCCACGTCATTTCCGGTGACACGCCCAATCAGACTTCGAGATATCGACTGTATCTTCCTGTCTTGTACTATAAATCGAAGCAGTATTTGGCTTTTTCTTAGCGGTGTACCATTGACAATATCCATGTGTGTATCGTAGAGCAGCAGATATTCCCTCTTTAACAGCAGTTTATCTGATAAACTGAGAATTAACCTACTTTGTTATGTTACAGTTCAGAACTGTATGATGTACACTTTTGTTGACAATTTTTCTTATCTGTACCTCTTGTTTTTCTTTCGATTCAGATATGTTCGTTAGAGTTCTATCCTTCTAAGGCTCGTTTTTGTATGACGGATTACTTTACATATGTTGCACAAATTTAATGTTATTGAGTGATCATTCCAACAAAAGCGAATGCAGCAAGAATTCCTTCATGTTGTAAAAATTGCTGGTATCTCTGGTCTGTTTTCACAATGCACAGGTGCATTTCTGTGAATTTACTCCTGTTCATCATCTGTTTCAATGCATACATTTTTGACGAGCACTTTGTAATTGATCAATATGTTTTGAAATGTAGTAATGAATTATGTTCCATAAAACTTGTATTATTTGTCCTCATTATTCAGCGTTTTTATGACTCGTTAGTGTTTTATGGCATAGTTGGCGTAAGGCAAACATTAGAAAGAATACAACACTCGGTGAGAAAAATGATGAGTCATACAATAGGGGCAGATGGTCAGCAGCGCGAGCGACTCTGTTATGGCCCTGCTAGAGCGCGGGGCATATTCTTCCGCAGCTGCGAACGCACATCGTAGCACTCGCACCCCAGAGAGGTGCGCCTGCCTTTTCATCTAGCGTAATTACCTTCGACCTGCCGCGGCCTCAACGTGGAAATCCTCTTTAAAGGCCACGAATCACGACTCGATTTGGTTTAGCTCCTCCGAATCCGACAAAGTGACGAGGAATTCAGATGGCGGATATAAAGCAAAAGTGCCACTGTCGTCCCTTGTCTTGCGATCCGCCCGTGACTGTCCGAGTGCTGCATTCCATTCCTATTTGCCGCGGCCGATCCGCATAACACGTCTCTCTTGAGAAAACGAGTGAATACTCCCTTTCTTCTAATCTTATGCTTTATCAGGCTGCCAAGATCTGCTCAAGCTTGTACGAGTGAAGCTGCACGGCATTCCAGATCATCCCTTGCAACATGCACGCTTGGAAGAAGAATTCTAATCTTGACCAGACTAATTGGTAAGCGGCCCTTTTTTGTACTCCAGGTAAAAGTGTGGAACTGGCATCATAGATTTCTCAGCGTCTGCACTTTTCATGACTGGTTTCGTTATCCGCTGGACCGAGGATCACTGCCAACATGAGTTTGCCAACAAAATTTAGTCGCCTTATCGCCAATATACCGGGGGCACTGTGGATTCAAGAATGCTATGGATTTGCTATACGGGATAATCTAAGCGGAGGAGGAAAGACTCCAAGTACGTTGAGCCTTTTCGATCCTGCCGCGAAGCCTTCCTGCTGGTTTCCGAGCTCAGCACTAGTCAAGGATGCCCCGTATAACTGAGGATAGCACGCACAAATGTATTCTGAAGAAATTTGATGACAGCACACATCCAATTTTTATGCATTCCACAACGTAGAATCGCTTTATAAAACATGGACTACAAAGCAAACTAGTGGATACGCCGGATTACTAACGATTAACATTAGAAATGTGATCGCCGGTCAAATGAAATACATGCGGCTTTTGAACTTGTCCGTCACCGACACGCATTCCTGCAGAGCAGCATCAGAGTTGGACTGGTTGGCGTTTATATCACCTAAACATTGCTTCATTGCTCAAGCTGGCATTGTTTTATGGGTAGAATGAAAAGCTGGTGGTCAGCACACACCAGTGCTTACACCCTTTCAGGAACAGCAGCTATGGGGAATTGTACAAGTCCTTTGGCCCTTCCCCTCAACTCCACGATTTCACGGGTGAATTAGCTCCATTTGAGATTCTGTTAGAGTCATTTCTGAGATGGGTATAGGTGATGGTGGGAGATTGCCCAGTGGTGGCTAGTATTCACCGCTTGGCAGCTACCTGCTAGCAATTGTGACGAGCGACTGCATGGGCTGGTATAAATAGGCGTCGCACCGCCTTCTCTTGGCTAGTACCCAGGGCAATTACGTAAGGTAGATATGTAGATGCTCCTTACCGGCTTCGAATTCCCGTCGTCTACGTGGGCGGCCGACAGACATTAGAGATGAAAGAGACGAAATGACTGAGCCGGTTTCTGATAATCCGTCCGATTCGTGGACACCACTGAAAGCACAGAAGCTCAAGATTAAGGTTGATTTGACTTGAGGGAAGTCCCTCACGATCACGTCCTATAAGACTAACTCCATTGACAAGCAAGCTTCAGAAAATGGGCAAACCTCATCACGAATGTAGCCCTTGTCCAGATTCAGTGGAATATGTATGAGTATGCAGCAGTACTTAGAGTTAGATAAGATGATATGACAAGGAGTCGAGTGAGAATGAACCGCCAGCCCACTTAGTTGCGAGTAAAGTGAGGCTCACCGCCTCTCCCACCCCCAGCATATCTCCAGTTTTGCAGCCTTGCTTTATCACTATCATGTTCACTTCATTCCGAGGTTCCACACAAAAACAGCTTTGTGGTTGTTTATGCGGTATTGCGCAATGTTTACAGTTTTCCTTGAGGAATCATTTCATTCCTCACTGAGTAAGGGACTGATGCTTCCACAACGATTCGAAGATCCTGCCCAGCCAAAAATGGAAAGGCAGGATCTTCAGATCTTGCCCAAACCTAATCTATACGTACATTTTCCATTATAGACAAATCGCCCAATCGCGTAATCGCCTAATCGCACGTACGATCGCCAACTATGAACGCTCCAAAAGGCGGAGTTTACGATTAAAAGGCAACCCATTAGAAATCAAGGCGCTCAGGTCGCTCATATGGCTTATGGACGACTTTCAGAAATAGGGCATTTAAAAACCGCTGCTCGTAACACTAG